AAGTAGGTCCTCAGGATTGCATCACAAATTGGAGCCAGAAAATTGTGATGATCTCTGTGTTTTCCCTCCAAATTGTTGCAAAACACTTGAACTCAATAACTGCTTAAAATAGTGTATTACTTGAAAACTATATCAGGGGATGTTTTAACTACTAATTTGTCACCCAAGGCCAGTTCATCATTGTACTAGTTATCAAAGCGTATATTACTAATGATGATTTGACCAATTGTCTTTGCACACATTTTCGAAATAGCCTTCTGCTCCAACTGCACTTGCGCACTGACTGTGCCCCTTAACGAAGGCCAAACAACTGGAGAATGGGATAGATTCAGCTGTTGCAGAAGAGGAACCAGCCGTCAACATGTGTTTGGTGAGCATGTAGTATTGTACATGGAAGTAGCAGATTGACGAGGCAAAGGCGGATGTTGTGCCTTGTTGTGCCAATACTCTTCGTGGACTGCGATCTTCTGCACTCTCATCCAGATCCTGCTACAACTTCTGCCAGCACACTCACTCACTCTTTTCCCCCTCTAGCAGTTAATTACGAATATCGAGGCCACGGGATTCCCGTGTATTCTTGCCCAATGACCCGCTAAACTATTCAACCACTTTTGCTGTCTAATCCTAATGCCAAACAGCTTCCACTCTCGACGCAGTTCCACTCATTCGCATTGTTTCGCATCCATAGTTCTCTCACTAAACACAGCTTCCTCTGCGTGTCTGTCAAAGGCATGCTGCACTCAATATTTCAATGTTGGCTGCTCTCCACAAATTGCCAATGTAGACTCTTTGTCGAACATAGAGGCACGTATGCAGTTCGGCGTCGTGAGGAGAAGCTAAGTGCAACAAAGAAGCATTTCGTTGGCATATTTTACTGTTCATCTCTCAGTGATGGTTAACGCCGTAAACAATTAAACGAGGGTGCGAGATTTGGAAATGCACTCACTGTGGGCACCCAAATGAAATCCTCAAGCCAAGCAAGGCGCGATATTTGCTGTATCGCAGTGTAAGTAAGGCAAGTGTACGCCTAACCTTCTATCGACTGCTCTACAGTACCCAATTTGACCATTCGTATCACAGTCAACAAGCCATGGCAAAGTATTAGTCTAAGCAGAGAAATGGATGCGTATAGGGAAGGCAGTATGTTGGCTTTTTGTTCAACTTCTTCGTGCATCATCACCTTACACTTAAAACCCCCCAACAACACATTTGCGCTGGGAATGGTACATTATTCTGACGCAGCCACCGGACTTCCAGCAATGCATGATGCACTGCAGCAGTCGGTGGAGTGTGTTTGGTGAAGAGGCATAAATGAGGTGTGGGTACAGTGGCAAGATGCTGCACACACCACTGCACAGCTATTGGAATAAGGGTAGGTGGTGCTGAGTCAGCGGCAGCAAATGCAGACAAGCAATTCATTTAAAGACAAAGCAAATACCGCCTCAATGTGGGCATCAAATCGACGCCTTATGAGATGCAAATAGTTATGACGAGTTGATATGAGAGGTTTCGCCTCCTAAATACTTTAAGCATCTCACATGCAATTTATCGCCCCACTCCGCCTTCTTTTCTATTCACTCCATTTATCTTCTTCCAATTCCACCTAACTTCTTTTTAGTTACTCTTCAGTGGTGAGTGTGCAGCATTGTGCCACTCTACCCACACCACATTCTTGTTTCTTAATCAGACACATTTCACCGACTACTGCGGTGCATTGTGCTTTAGTGAAAAACGGGTTTGAATGAAATAAAGTGCCTTTCTCCGTCAAATGTGTTGTTGATGAAAGGAGAAGATGAACGAAAAGCCAAAGCACTGCTTTTCCTAAACACATTCATCCCCTTTGCTTAGACTAGCACTTTGCCATGGCTTGTTGAGAATGGCTCCAACTGTGTAATTAGATGCTTTGGAGCAGCTGACAGAGGTTGAGGCGTACACCTGCTAATACTACACTGCAATATAGCACGACTCATGCCTTGCTTGCCTTGAGGGTTTCATTTGCCTTCCCTATTGTCCAGCATGGAGGACGGTTCTAAATCTCGCACTCTCGTTCGGTTGTGCACATTGGCAAGCATCACCAACGAAGAGGCGTTGAATGCAGCGGCAGTGGACGTGAGGCCGAAGCAGCTTTACCTGCCTCACCTCCTTCCACTTCATTAAAAGCAGCATTCGTAGAGGAGCATTTGCACAAGCAAATGAATGTGCATTGCTGAATGACGAATTAATCTGAGTTGATGTTACTTTCCGTTCAAGTTCTGCACATGCAACTACAACACCCACCTTGCACCGAACCAAGGCACGATTTGCCATATTGCTGGCGTATCAACCCCATCACACGTTTACACTAGGATCTGAGTTTATGCGAAACTGGTTCTTCTGCCACACAACCACTATTCGCCAACGAGAAGCTACTTCGTCGCACAAAGAATCTACGATGGCCATTTGTGGAGACCAGCCAACATTGAGTTGTTGAGTGCAGGATGCCTTTGACAGACACGCAGAGGAAGCTGTTTTTAGTGTTTAGTGAGGGAAGTATAGATGTGTAGCAATGCGAATGGGTGGAAATGCCTCGAAAATAAAATGGGCAAAAACATGCATCACCTTTAACAAATTTGGCATTGACCGCTTCGCCAAATATCTGCACATATACTGGCACAATTTGTAGTGTACAATTAATTATGGAAAATATTGTGGGGTGCTAGTAAGGATTGGTTAACAACAGCGAATGTTTTGCTAACCAAAACGCAGGATGGAGAGGGGCATAAGTGCTACCAGCAGCAGTATACCAATGGGCACACGTTACTAGTCTTCATCGCCTAGGCAGATGGTACGGGTTGGAGGTCAACGTAAGCAGTGTCCTCTGCTGTGAATTATTTATATTTAAGTTCAGTTCAATCCGGTCTGTAGACCGTGCATGCGATGCATTGAAATGGGCATTTTTGTACTATTCTTGATTTTTCTTCATCACTTACGTTCCTGCACTCATCAGACCATGTAACGCAGTACAATTTTTGATTATAGTAAATTACGGGTCTATCTAAGGAAGCAAAAATGAGGCGGCGAATCAGAAACATTGCCAATTGTCCTGTGGGATGAATTCGATGAGGCCATTAAAACCAATGCAATTTTGCCCTTATGTCAAAATCATGCTAGCTTCGCCAATTTGTCACATTCAAATGTGGGCGAGTTCTTTTAAACCAATCCAATTGCATTCATGTCAAAATCATGCTAACCCTACAACAGACGGTTCTAATTTTCCTGCCTCGTGTGATGAGTGACGTTAAGACATTGACTGGAGTCACTTGCCATCACCTCGTTGTGCTCTCCACCCACCACACATGCATTGTCTCACTAAACGAAACCTACACAGATGCATATGCTCGGTCAGATGCGCATGACCGCGAAGCAGTCCTACCAATCTACACATGGCTTAGCATAACATTTCAAACTGGGAACAGAAGGTGTGTCGATTGCACAGTGTCCATGCACAATTAACCGGGAAATATGATACATTTATTTAATCTATGAACAAATATCTCACAAATCTACCAGATCCAACTAACATATCAACGACAAATCAGTGAACACCTCTGGTGTGCTTTTGTCAGCATCGTTAGGGCACAAATGAGTTGATCAGTAGCAAGTCGATGTTCCTTTTGACAATTGAAATGCAGGCAATTGCTCCGCCTAAGGCATCCCCCAAAACACTTTTTCTACACTTGGTGTGTGCAAAGCAACATGATGCACCTTCGTGCAAAAGCACAGTTAGTGTTGCTTGGGTTGATAGCTCGATGACATTAAAATTGAAGCAGCTATGTCTTTGCCAATTGTTGTACATTGCGATTCCCCGTCGTCTTGTCCCAGTTGCCTTTCCAGCTGTCGTTGCGAATATCCGCTTTCGGGTGAAATACTACTGGTGCAACGTCATTGTAACTGTCCCTCCCTGTAGATGAATTTCACTTCCCCGTATGGTGATTTTTTTTGTACAAATTGCAAATTATGTTTTCTTCTCATTTTTTTGCTGGAACCTATCTCAAATCTTAGTTCTTCCACCCCATGTAGGGCTGGCCCGTACTCTGGTGATGCGGAATCTGAGGCCAGACTCCTCCGGTGCAGCAACGTGCATTTTTCAACTGTACGCGTTTACCTGCAAATACTTTTAATTGTAAAAGGAGATAATACAAGTAAGTTTACAGTTCATTTCGAGGCGGTAGGCGTGTGAGGTCGTGGGAGTCTCCGGTGTGCCTCCACTTGGGAACAAACTCACCTGGTTGGAGGTGTCCTGGGATGTTATGGAAACATTGCTATTCTACTAATGAGTGGGGCTATGGGAGTTGGTATTTGCGGTTGCTTGAAGCGTTAACACCGAGGCAGGGGTGGGTTGCGTGCGTGCGGTGATTCCAGTTGAGTTAGTTCAAGTCGCGTCGCGAGGCGGTGCTCATCGTAGATTGGATATGGGAGCGCTGTGCACTGCTCATAAGACACTGGAGAAGGCAATGTTTAGTCGTCGAAGGAGGGTCCCTTCATTAAATAGGATTTCAGCAAGATTGCCAGTCTTCCGGGTCGGGTGATCCCCAAATGACAGTTTCGGTTTGAGCCTCGATAAGTGCATCACCCAGGGCCGCGATAGGTTATGCCTTGTCATAGGAGGGAGTCTCTGGATCCCTTGCTGAACAAAAACGGATTCGTTGACAAATGCAAGCAAGTAAAGAAGATTATCAAACACTTTGCAAAATGGTGCAATCAACAACAAAGAATGATTTAGGAGGTGCCAATCTGCAGGCATGTTCCAGCAGATCTTCATGACAAGTGAAACAACTGCTGAGCTCACATATCTTCATTGTGGAAGAGGAGGAGAATTACAACATTTAGCCTCTCAGGTTATATGAAGTGCATCATGGATGCATTTAGTTGGCATTTAATTGCCATTCACTGTATCCAGGTCCGATTTTGTGCATTAATGCGCAATTTTGAAATGTCACGATGATGTTCGGCAACATGTGAACAACTGGTGGATTGACCCAAACGTGGAACGTTGGACTGAAGTTCAAGTATTTGGAAATAGTTTGATTACAAAGGTCTTTGCTTTGGCTACGTGGACCAGTAATAGGAAACGATTGGAATGTAGAGGTTCAGTGGAGGATAGCTTTGCAAATACACAGAGCGAAGCGTGGATAGTAGGCAAGGTAAGGCAGACAAGAAAGCGCATTGGGTGAGACGTTGGGTGGAATTCCAAAACTCGTGCTCTTGTTCACTGGCCCAAATCAGTCAGCATCACTGAGAGATGGGCGTTGAATATGCTGGTGGTGGACGTGCAGTCGAAACAGCTTCACCTCCTAAATTGCCTTCGGCTTCATTAAAATGAACTTTCTTTGAGAAAGGACACGTGGAGACAAACATCAAGTACAGGAGCGACCAACACTGCCAACTAAGATTTTCTCTTCCGTAACGTCTTCCTCTGGAGCGGCTGCTGATACGTGGGTATGGGATTATGGTTGTCGGATTGTTGTACCTGCGTGGGCCAGAACATCCGCATCTCAGAGCAACTTCCTCCACCTCACCATCTCTTCTTTCATCGTCCAAAGCATTAGGCATCAGCTTAATGTGCATATATCTCACCTCCGAAACGATCGGTTGGGTTGAAATTATGAAGAGTGGGTCAAATAGATCCATAGGTTAGGGTAGGAAATGATAATTTCACTAAGGTTATATCAGCTCTGGGGAATGGGGTAAGTAAGAGGATAGGTTGTTGTTAAATCGCACAATTGTTCCCCCCCGAATTTCTCTTTCCACCATATTGTTGACTTCGCCGATTATTTGGTGTTTTGCCAATGTGAAACTGATATGAGGATTTTTAAAATAGATATATGCGCTATCGGAGAATGGCACCGACAATTCTGGTTACACTTTAGGATGCACGTTAATGTTTACTCGCACGGAAACACCAAACGCTGCTCTCCCGAATTCCAATTTCTTTGCTAGCCTGAATACAAATGTCAGCGGTCAGTGGAATAAATTGTCCAACCTGTAGTATTGAGGCGCACAACTGTAAACTGCGGTTACGCTTGGATGGGGTTGAAGGCGAAAAGAGAGATTAGTGCGGTAGGCCACATTAGGCGGAAGCCTTAGTTCAATTACTTCCAAACCCGTTCACATTGATGCAAATGTCGGTGGTGTAAGTCGTAGTGCCAGCGAGCAGGGTCTTTTCATAATGAAAGGAGCAAGAGTAAGCATCACCTTCAACAGACTTTACATTGACCTGTTCACCGAATATATCCACATATCCTGGCACAATTTTCAGTGTACAATCAGCTATGCAATTCATTGTGGAGTCTGGAAGAGGTTTTGTCGACAACAGTGTATATTCATCCCACTAAAACCTAAAGTGGAGGTGGGCACGAGCGCCATTAGAAGCGGCACCCCGTTGAAGTGATGGGTGTGCATGTCGAAGAAGGGCAGTCCTGCTGTGCGGCAGAAGTCGCAGGATTCCGTCAGGGTTGTTGTTCAGGTTGACAGCTTGATGACATTTAAGGCAAAGCAGTTGTGGCTTTGCCAATGGGCACACATCGCAATCCCCCGTCATCTAGGCAGATGGTATGGCTTGGAGGTCAAAGTGGGTGGCATCACGATCATGCGCCTCAGCAAATGGGATGAATTCCCATTTTAAATAGGAGTTGGCGCATGAGCGTAATTGTGTATGTTTCTGAACAAAAGTGAAATAAACGTGTTAAATCTTGACAGTGAAAGTTATTTGCTGTAGGAGACATCATGTAAATAGCATTTCCCAGCAAGGGATCAGAAATTGTTTAATTATGATTGAATAGACAGAATATCCGCACCCATAAAGCATGATACTTTCGTGGGCATCCACTTGTTGGAAGGAAAGATCTATCAATTAACCTAAGAGCCCGTTTTCGAGGCCAGACATCCCACTGTCCAATAATACGATCCTTCGGTATGAGTAAACGACATCGAGACTATGGAATGAAACGATTTCGCCTTGTGGCCTTTGACAACAGATGGATTATCCATAGGTGGACACTTTTTAAACCTTATTTTATTGTTGACTGCAACATTATGCAAAGAGTTTTACAATCTACTTTATTTGCTTTCATTTGTTAGCTAATCCGTTTTGGTTCAGCAAGGGATCCAGAGACTCCCTCCTGTGACAGGGCATAACCTATCGCAGCCCTAAGTGATGCACTTCGCTAGGCTCCAACCGAAACTGTGATTTGGGGACCACCCGACCCGGAAGACTGTCTGGCAATCTTGCTGAACTCCTATTTAATGAAGGGACCCTCCTTCGACGACTAAACATTGCCTTCCCCAGTGTCTCATCATCAGTGTGCAACACCCCATATCCACTACCATTGCAATCCTGGGGACCTACCC